CCAATATCATAGAAAAGTTAGCGAAGCCCTGGCATGGGGCCTTCAAACCCTTTCAACATTAAAAAGCCTGCTAGAACTTAAAACATTATGAATTGTTGTGGGGGGGGGGGGTTGAATAGTTCTAGAACTAAAAGTTGGGGAGAGGTTAAGGGAGACTGGGAGAAAAGGGAGAGATGAGAGAAGTTGGCAGAGGACAGCCAAGTATTTTGTATAGATATCAGATGATGGGAAAATATGGTCGGGGCGCTAAGGGGCCGTCCATAAAGTACGTCACGCTCCAGACGGGGGGTAGGGGGTGTAAGAAAGTGTAACAGTTTGTGACACGGGGGAGGGTGGGTCAGACCATGTGTGACGTCACACATTTTTTTTTTTTTAAATTAGATTTCCAATTCATTTTTTTTAAGCAGAATTTAATATCTTTAAGAATAATTTTCAAAAACTTTGTGAAGCATTCGAATTAGTTTTATGTGAAATGCGTATCTCCTGAATGTGTTGTTCACGATTCTTCTCGCTAGTATGCTGTTGCGAGCCTTGCTTTCGTCATGCATGATGTATTATTATTTCTATGTTGTCCGCTGCATAATTATGTCACTGTCCTTTTTATTATTTAATCACTGGGTGAGGTCAAGTTTCGCTAATCTATTTTGAATCCTGTGTAAAAAGATTGCATAATCGGAAGATTATCTAAAACTTGACTTCACCTATTATTGTAAACGAAAAAGCAGCAGATAAATGATGTGTATTTTATAATAATTGTCTAGTCTAATTTTTGCAATTTTTGTTTTCAAATTCAATCTAGATTGAGTTACCGCTTCAATAAATAACTGTGACAACTGTTGGCAATTAACTATTAAAGTCATTTTAATAATTTGATAGTTCTTTTAAGTGGAAATTTTATATTTTGATACAGTTTAACAGTGAAGTGTGTTTTAGATTAAATTTTAATTAGGTGCTATTAAAAAAAAATTGTTTCGAAAGTGTGACGCACTTGGGGGGTGGTGTGTCCGTGATTTGTGACAGTTGTTGACAGGGGGGAAGGGGGGAGGTTAAAAAATGGTCAAAAATAGCGTGACGTAATATATGGACGGTCCCCTAAGGGTGGAAAACAAAATGGAGTGGAGTGAGGGAAGAGGAGAGCAAAAGGTTAAGAATATATTTAGGAGGATAAATGGGAGATATTAGAAGTTACGTTTAGGTGAAAGATGTCCTGGGTATGGATATAATATAAATATACATATATATATGAGAGAGAGAGAGTGAGAGAGAGAGAGAGTAGTGTTTTCGGAGGATTAGATGAAGATAATGTGGTAGAGGTGTGTAGAGGGAATGAGGGTAGTTCTTTGAATTAAGGTTTTAACTTGTTTAAGTCATAATTTTTCTTGAGACAAGCATCCTCTGGCGTTTACACACACACACAAAAATGTTACGATGAAAATTTTGTTGAGCACGGAGTCATTGTTTTTTTTTTTCAACATTGGGCAGAAAAGATTCATTGCAAACATACACCATCCGTCGTTGTGGATTCTGTTTACCCCAAACAGTAACCGGAAGCGCCACAAGCACGTTTCTTACATCCAAATCAACAACAACAACTAAAATAATAATATAATTTTCTACCACCGCCACATACATTTTTTCAATTTTAAAAAAAGTTGAAATATTCATTCCAGAAATAGTTTTGAAATGTTTTGATCATATGTTTTCTTATTGTCAGTAAACTGGACGGAATGGGTTTCCCTGTAGTTGCTGGTTGTCTAACAAAGGCTGGTAGCGAGTCTCTCGGCAAATCCTGCTCGAGTCGGCTGAAGACACTGACTGTTGACGTCACAGACAGTGACAGCATCCGAGCAGCTTACGAAGCTGTGAAGAAGGCCCTCCCTGATGACACATGTAAGATATGAGTGTGTGGGGAAATTGTGATAAAGATTGGTGTGATTTAATATGATACAATTTCATAATTTATCTAGTAATGTGAGCAATGGGGAGAATGCCAAATGATAGAGGAGTGAAGAGGACGCATCACCAAAACCCAAGAGGAAAACGGCTGAAAAGCAGATGGATGGATAATATCGAAAAAGACCAACAGATACTGGGAATCCAAGCATGGAAAAGAAAATCGGTAGCTAGATCTGAGTGGAAAGAAGTAGTGAGGTGGGCCAAAGCCCTACATTGGCTGTAGCGCCACACGGATGGATGGTGTGAGAAATGAGAACAAGCGCTGAGTGGCACACACACATGGTTAGTTGTTCTTGCAACTAAAACAAGTAAAAAAAAAAAACTGTTCTTGAATATCTCTTTCAAAGCAGATGAAAATTTTAAAAGTAGCCCTCATTAACTCTAAATTTATTGCAATGAAATTCGTTATATTTAAAAGAAAAAAAAACAAAAAAACTAAGCTTGACTTTCTTAATGTGGTAAAAGGGGAAGCAGTTGTATTTTCTGAAAATGCAACGCTTTTTTTTCAGGGTTCTGTGTGAATTTTAGACACATAAAATATTTCATTGTGACTGAGAAATTAAGAGAAAATAACAATATCGAGTATTCAAAACCTAGAAGTTAATTGTAATTATCCCTGGTTTGAGTATCGTATTATTTGTTCTTGTAGTGTCATTTGGTATCGTCTTTTGTTGTGTACTGTTTTAGAACGAGCCCTACACTGAAATAAGAGATTAATTTCTCCATAATGTAACAGTACGTAACATTGGCGCAAATAAAGAATGTGATGCTACCGCTAAGTTTTTCCCATCTTTGCATACAAAATTTTTTTTTCCATGAAAAACTAAAATTGTGTAATAGAGGGTTAATAAATTTTATTATGTTAATTGTAATGAATTACAAAACCAAAAAGTAAACAAAAAAAATGAAATTATTGACTCACAGAGTAGTGTTAGGTTTGTACCGGTACAATGTTGAAGAAAACACAATGTGCAAAAAAAGGGGGCAATGGTGAAAAGAAATCTACAAAAACACCTTAAATAAATCCCTCGTCTCGTAGCAAAGATAGCATACGCTTCCAATAGCTTTCGTGTTAAATGATAGCCCAAAAATCTCTTATTGGTCTCCTTTTATAGAGTGTTTTAATTATCTTTCTAGAACGGTCTTCTACATTTTTTCCTTTCCCGTCTTCTCCAACTTTTTCTACGGAATTCTAAGGATACAGACTTTGTATTTTATTTAGTTCTAAACAATGTCAAGAGCGACTATTTTTGGCTAGCCACACCCTAAATGTAGTTCCGAGCTTTGTGTCAGCTAGAGTTCATTCACGGGGAAAGATGCCGTAAACACGTAGTCTACATAACAGCGCATGTCAGCTAAATTATACCGAGAAAAGTAGGAAGTTGGCAGTCAATAATTTATAGTGCCCATGTAAAAATTTAATTAGGCCCGAGAAAATTTAAACTTCGACATAAACCTCATTCTCCCCGCCCCCACCCACCCATTTTAAAAAAAACAACAACAACAAACAAACAGGGGCAGTGCTTTCTGAATAAAATTAATGATTTACATTAAAAATTAACTTTTGTTAGAAATTGATTAAATCATGTGATCGAGTGTATGGATAGTAATTGGATAAAATTGGTCGGGAACAAAAATTGTGCTTTGAACAACTGCTGAGGATTTCGGAGTGAATCATTAAGAAAAGAAAACAGCCTTTGTTATTCAAGAAAAAAAAAAACACACAAAATTAAAAAAAGATATACATGGAAATTATATTCCTATAAATCCAATTCACGTTATAAAAATGAAAATAATGAAAGAATGTCAGTCTTGGTCGTCTGTTTTTTTTAAAAAAGATAATATTGAAAGAATATCTGTCTTGGTCATCCGTTTTAAGTATGAACTTTCATTTCTCCAACATCAATCATTGCTATGAATGTATGATTTTGAAACAAACTATTTAACTCGTCGCATCTGTCTCAAGGTCTGTGGGCTGTTGTGAACAATGCCGGAGTAACGGGGCGACTGACCGTGTCCGAGATGTGCACCAAGAAAGATTTCATCGACGCGTGCAACGTCAACCTGTTCGGCCCGATAGAAGTAGCCAGGACTTTCATGCCCCTCCTGAGAAAGTCTAAAGGCAGAGTGGTCAATATGGTCAGCGTGATGGGCCGGTGTCCAGCGGTGAGCAGTCCGTACTCCGTCTCCAAGTTCGGCTTGGAGGCGTACTCCGACGTCCTGCGCAGAGAGGTGTCCAGATTTGGTGTCAAGGTCATCGTTATAGAACCCGGATTTTTCAAGACCACCATATTCAACCGAGAAGCGCTGCAAGCCAGCACGAGAAAGACGTTCGAGCAGTCCAGCAGTGAGGTCCAGGCGGCCTACGGCCATGACTATGTCGAAAAGATGTCATCACTTCTCGACGGAGTAATGGACTCGTTGTCCCCACACACGTACAAGGTTGTCAATGCTTATGTCGACGCGATAACCGCAAAGTATCCTAGGGCCAGGTACCTGGTAGGCTATGATGCCAAGTTCCTGTTTGTTCCTATTTATCATTTGCCAGAGTGGCTGATGGATTGGCTAATTGAATTTAAATCCAGGAAACTAATCCAGAAAACTACTTCATAAAACTAATCCAGAAAACGCAATGAAAAAGAAAACACATGAAAATAACTTACACAACTAATCTAATGTCAAATCGACCACGTCTATTGTAACATTGACCTTGTCTATTAATAACACCGACCGTGTCAAATGTAACACCGACCACTTCTATTGTAACATTGACCTTGTGTAATATGATACCAACCGTGTCTATAGTAACACCGACCTTGCCTATTCGCGAATCAGGGAAATGCTACTTTTCTCAAATGGACCTTGATCAAAGATTATGTCCAATGAACAGCAATCAAAGGATAACGTAATAAAAGAGGAATGTCGTCAGCATTATTTGATCGCTAAATTATCTTCCCGGCATCTTCATTCCGTAGTTCTCTACTATGCACACATCGTTCTATAATGTACATTTTGATCTATAACAAAGCAATTCTAGATGTACACGTGATTCCAATCCACACCTCGTTCTATAATAAATCATTGAAACATGTACGTCTGATTCCAATGCTGACATCGTTCTATGATAAATCATTGCGAGATGTATACATTATTCCAACGCAAACACTGCATATCATGTAAAGATTATAACGATTATATTCAGTAACATGTTTCTGTGTTCTTGCTATGATCAAAACTGTAACTCAAACTTGAGTTCACCTGTTAAAAAAGAAAACTATTTAAAAAATCATAGTTTTCTTTGTATTTTTTTCTCTTACTTTGAGGATGGACGGACTTGTAATTAGAGGATGGATATTGACTTGTAATAAAAGGAGAGTAATTGACTTGTAATTAGAGGATGGATATTGACTTGTAATAAGAGGATGGTAATTGACTTGTAATTAGAGGATGGATATTGACTTGTAATAAAAGGAGAGTAATTGACTTGTAATTAGAGGATGAATATTGCCTTGTAATAAGAGGATGGTACTTGACTTGTAATTTGAGGATGGATATTGACTTGTAATAAGAGGATGGTACTTGACTTGTAATTTGAGGATGGATATTGACTTGTAATAAGAGGATGGTAATTGACTTGTAATTAGAGGATGGATATTGACTTGTAATAAGAGGATGGTACTTGACTTGTAATTTGAGGATGGATATTGACTTGTAATTAGAGGATGTATATTGACTTGTAATAAGAGGATGGATATTGACTTGTAATAAGAGGATGGATATTGACTTGTAATAAAAGGAGAGTAATTGACTTGTAATTGGAGGATGGATATTGACTTGTAATAAAAGGATGGTACTTGACTTGTAATTAGAGATGGATATTGACTTGTAATAAAAGGAGAGTAATTGACTTGTAATTAGAGGATAGATATTGACTTGTAATAAGAGGATGGTAATTGACTTGTAATTAGAGGATGGATATTGACTTGTAATAAAAGGAGAGTAATTGACTTGTAATTAGAGGATGGATATTGACTTGTAATAAGAGGATGGTAATTGACTTGTAATTAGAGGATGGATATTGACTTGTAATAAAAGGAGAGTAATTGACTTGTAATTAGAGGATGAATATTGCCTTGTAATAAGAGGATGGTACTTGACTTGTAATTTGAGGATGGATATTGACTTGTAATAAGAGGATGGTACTTGACTTGTAATTTGAGGATGGATATTGACTTGTAATAAGAGAATGGTAATTGACTTGTAATAAAAGGAGAGTAATTGACTTGTAATTAGAGGATGGATATTGACTTGTAATAAGAGGATTGATATTGACTTGTAATAAGAGGATGGTAATTGACTTGTAATTAGAGGATGTATATTGACTTGTAATAAGAGGATGGATATTGACTTGTAATAAGAGGATGGATATTGACTTGTAATAAGAGGATGGTAATTGACTTGTAATTAGAGGATGTATATTGACTTGTAATAAGAGGATGGTAATTGACTTGTAATTAGAGGATGGATAATGACTTGTAATAAGAGGATGGTAATTGACTTGTAATTTGAGGATGGATATTGACTTGTAATAAGAGGATGGTACTTGACTTGTAATTAGAGGATGGATATTGACTTGTAATAAAAGGAGAGTAATTGACTTGTAATTAGAGGATGGATATTGACTTGTAATAAGAGGATGGTACTTGACTTGTAATTTGAGGATGGATATTGACTTGTAATAAGAGGATGGTACTTGACTTGTAATTTGAGGATGGATATTGACTTGTAATAAGAGGATGGTACTTGATTTGTAATTAGAGGATGGATATTGACTTGTAATAAAAGGAGAGTAATTGACTTGTAATTAGAGGATGGATATTGACTTGTAATAAGAGGATGGTACTTGACTTGTAATTTGAGGATGGATATTGACTTGTAATAAGAGGATGGTACTTGACTTGTAATTTGAGGATGGATATTGACTTGTAATAAGAGGATGGTAATGGACTTGTAATTTGAGGATGGATATTGACTTATAATAAGAGGATAGTAATGGACTTGTAATTTTAGGATGGATATTGACTTGTAATAAGAGCATGGATATTGACTTGTAATTCTTTATCAATTATTTTGGATTCTACTGTGCGCGCTGTATCTTGAGTGCAAGTATCTTGGATTAACAATCTTAGCGCCATGAGGCCTGTGACGTGGATGTAATGTATCTGTGACGTAGCGTTTAGACTTGTTGGAGTACGTGATATCGTTTGCTGTGAGTAGGGAGGTTGTGTTGGGTTCCTCTGTAGCTGATATGTATATATGTAAGTTATTGTAGGACCTTATGATACATAACGTTGAATTAAGTTTAAGTAGTTCATGAAATTTGACTTGTGTTCCGTTTAAATGTGTTATGACCACGACATTGACGGGAGGAACTCTATTATACGAGCTTATCACATGTGAAAACTAGACTTTAAATAATATGACTAGAATAAATGACCCGATGTTATCGGGATAATAATGGTAGGTCATATGCGATAATTTTTAACTGCCAATGCAAAAACTCATCCAAATTCATAACTTTAAAAATGTAATATTTACGTTTCTAACATCATTACGTTTTGAGAGGTATTTATCTGCTATATATTATAGGCCTACCCTACTCCTTTTCATGCTCCTTAACTACTATTTCCCCCTCTAAATATTACCTTCAATTACACATTCTAAATTATTACTAATTATATCACTTTTGTCACTAAAGAAGTTAATTGAAGGATAATTACTACGTAAGAGAAATACTTTAGATGAACCCCTTTTCGTGCCCTAGAATTACAACTTTTTTTTTTCTCTAAAAATTGTTTAAAAACCTTGCCTTAAATTTACATCAAAAACTCTATATACGATATAAAAATATTTTATATTATAGGAATTCGATATATATTGATATCTTCAGCAAAAATTTAAACACATTTTTGCCTTTTTAAAAAAATTATATATTATCAGAAAATCGTAAAACAAAGAATTAGTTTATCTAACGAAGAATCGTGAAACCGTTTTTCACGTCTATCACAGATTTGAGGGTTGTTGTTTTTTAAATTGTAAATGGTTAATCTCATAAAATACAAATCTCTTTACTTTTTGCAAAGTAAAAACAAAAATATTTTAATTTTTTGAAAGTAAATATTAACCCATCTCTATTTTTCAAAATTAATTTTTCAAGTGTGTAAAATGATTGGGTTTTGGTATTCATTGGTATACCTATATAAATGTACCCAAGATTTGTTAACGCCATTGATCTTCTTAATTGGTAAACATACGTATATTTGTAAAGAGAGAGAGAGTAGCATCTATTTTTTTCAAATATGTAATACCATAAGAGTTAACTATATTGTCATGCAGGTAATAATGTACACATCTTATTTCCTACCTCCGACATGTATTTACCCAAGAAAATTAATTATTTATCAAAATCATTCCTTTTTTGTATACGTATCTTGCGCTGCCTTAAGCAAAATGAACATAAGAAGAGAATGTAACATTTTTTTTTTTAAATGTAATAACATAGGATTTAAATATATTGTCATCCACGTGAAAATGTATACATCCTATTTCCTACCTCCGACATGTATTTACCCATGAAAATTAATTATTTATCAAATTCATTCTTTTACTTTGAGACGTATCTTGTGCTGCCCTGGGCAAAGTAACCAACCCCCACCCCCCAACCCAGATTTAAATAAATTTAGAAAAATCTTCTACCGGATTGTTTTATTTGATTTTATATTTATATCGCGCTGGTACCCATGTCCCTTTAGCATGCTCACTGAGCTCTGGTCCTCCGAAATTTATTGAAACAAAAAAGTTTTTAATTGTTTCAAAAATTTTTTTATCATTTACAATTCCCCTAAAAGATTGAGGCAAACTGCTCCATAATTTTGGCGCTATTGCTAAAATGAGCGAACTCCTTAAGACTGGTTTCTGTGTTCATCCACTCTAGGAACACTCAGTAAGTACTGTATGGAAGACCGCAGGCTCTTCAAGGGTAGGCTATATATTTATGAATCAGTTCCTTGAGATATGCTAGTGCTGAGCCATCCATGTAGCTGTATGCCAGGGACAGAATTTTGTAGTTAATGTAGTCCCTTCCATACCCAAACTAAAATAATTTGTACTTCATATGGTTCGTTCTCTTTTTTGTTTTAGTTATCAGTGGATTAGTCAGTGCAATTTGGCTATGGAGTTGTGCAGCATTGTTTGACTTAAACTGCAGTTTCTTTATAGAATTATATTTAAGGGTTAGTTTTTATAATTTTATAATTTTAATAAATGTATATTTTTGGAATAAAAAATGCAAACCTATTGTTGTTAATATACACAGGTGAAATGTGTGTGTTTTTTATTAACAATTAAAAAATCAATCAATTGTATTTATTAATTTTACTTTTAAGAATGGAAAATACATTATCAGTTTTGTCACTCGCAGTTAATTAAATTTAAAGAAACCTAAGAGTTTTGGCGAAATAGGCTATTCCCGCTATGACGTCATTTGCGAGATTATTTAGAACAAAATAATTTAACATTTTTTTTCGCAATATTAACAACGCACTAAAACAACCGATGCTTGGGTTTTCCCGATCAATGTGATTTAGGTATAATTCTTTGATCATGATTTTTAAATTTTTAAATATTGTTTCATAACTTTTAAACACATATAAAATGCTTAAAATGGTTCCTTAGTTGATACTTTAAATGTATTTGTAATTTATAATAATATTACTTAAACGTTTACTAAAATAAAAGTGGCTTTAAAATATTTTTTGCGCATGTAAATTTATTCGATTTCCGTAAAATAAGAAAAAGTAGCTATGATTGTTTTTAGGAATCCGAACGTACTTAAAAAGTATCTCCCTTTTGGCGTTATGCGAACCTAGCTCATTCTTATATATATATTATGGGTAACGACATTGTTTAATGCCGTGATTCAAACTGTTTATTTTTTTTTTTTGCTGGCATGCGTCCGTCACAATGTGACGATGGTGACGATTTCGCAGGACGAAATCCACAAGGCCTGGGATTATTCTTCTAGGACTTTTGCCTGGTTCCCAACAGCAAGTCGACTCGCTCCATGCCAAGGGAACATCATGTGGATTATACAGTTTCGCACAAGTGGCGTCGCAGGAGTTGTTGGAATGTTTCATTGTACCAAAGTTATCCACCTACGGGACTACAAGTCCTGGTTTGAATTCAGAGTTTCCTTCTCCTAGATGAGTTGCCAACCAAGGTTACCAAGTCCCATCCACCTCGTTTGGAACTGAACTCCAGACTACCCACTTGAGATTTGCTCAGTATAGACCATTCGACAAAACTGTAACTCAAACTTTTAATACCCGGTACACCAGTCTATTTTAAAATCAGTTTCTTCTGATCTGTTGTTTCGGACGGTGGCCCATTTAAATACTTTACAACCCTATTTTAGGTCACTCCCGGAAGCCTGTG